TGTTTTGGGGGGTCTATTTCACTCTGGATGCGTCTGCAAGAGATCAACGCTCAGAAGCAGAGACGTAGCATCATGAAGGAAAGCTCGGATGGTCTCGTTCAAGTGTCAGCGGTCCCCGGCACGAAAAGCCATTGTTTGTTAGCCGGGCGCCCGGAGGGGGTTTTACAGCCTGCCGAGGGGCTGGCAGAGGACGCGACGGAACCGACTCTGCTGGGATGCAGGGCTCAAGAAGGCTGCCCGGAGGCATCAGCACGGCTCTGCGATCGCATTTCCCTCCCCCCAGAGGCTCCGCAGCCCGCACATTGGCTAGCTCGGGTCCCGCCGGGGGCGCCCCGCAATCTGAGACGCCGTCGCAGCCGCGAGTGGGTTAAAGGAAAGCCAATGGCTGTGGAGAGGCCGGAGCGGGCCTGCTCGCCTCGCCTGCCGACCTCCATTAGAGACTCCAACAATAACACCCCCCCCCACCCACACACAAAATGGATCCCTCCCTCCCGTTACGAGGGCACCTCGAATTCCCAAGTGATCCTGAGACAGAAACCAGCACCCCCCTCCCCGGGTAAGTCGCTGAGCCCCCCGCCCGCAGGGACAAGGCGGCCCCCCTTCCCCTTGGGGCGGCAGCGGAGATGACCCCCTCTCACTGGCAGGCGAGAACCAGGCAGGGGTACCCCCCTCCCTAGAGGGCGCCCTCAACCTCCGCCATTTTAGCCCCTTCTGGGGCGCTATAGATGGCCGTTCCCAGGCAGCTGACGCTGTGAGAAGCTGGCGGCAGCCCCCTTCCCCCCCAGCGGCAGAAAAGTCCGTTCCCTGCAGAGCCCCTCTCGCACCTTGTCGGCCACCAGCGCCTCGGCCGCATCCTTCTTGGGCTCGTCCTTGTGGGCGAACGGGGAGCTGAAGGCGATCTTCACCATGGTGCAGCCTGCTCTGTGCTGCGCGGCGCCCGGATCGTCCTTCCACCACCGCCGCGAAGCCGCCTGACTCCGCCCCTCAGATCAATCCGTGCTGGGGGCGGGGCCTGAGCGAGCGCGTCACAATGCTGCCGTCTGCTGCGCTGCAGGCGAGCTTAGCAACGGGCGGGGCGCCTGAAATCCGGAGGCGCCCTAGGGGCTCGACTCCCCTGCCCAGTTGCAACCTCCCCTCCGTCGGCTGCTGACGCCGGCCGGGCTACCCCAGCGCGGGCTGTAAGGGAAGGGGGGGGGCCTTGTTTGCCTGGACTGGCTCAGAAAAATACAGCAAGCAAATGGTCTGGTCGCACTTTATAGACTAACAAAACATGTAGACTGGCTCAGGACACTGTTATCTGCTGCTCAGCCAGGGCCTGCGCGCTGCCTCCTTTCTTCTGGGGCAAGCCAGCCGTCCTTGGGAAAGGCGTTTGCACCCTAAGACAGTCCCATGCTGCAAGTTGCAACCCCCTTTGCTGCTGCACCCTGCCAAACCCACCCCTCAGAAGAGGAAATTAATGCAAACAGCTGTGCTGGAAGCAGAGTTTTGACCCCAAACATGAGATGGGCTTGAGTCTATGAAGTCCACCTAGGACTATGTTAACATTGATTTTACTTGGACAGCTATGGGATCCCTCAGCTAGGTAAATTGTAGGCCATTAGTTTATATGCCTTCACCCATATGTGTGTATTGCAGTTTAGCAAAAGGAATTTTAGATTTTCCCCTTCCTGTCTTGAGCCCATTCTGTTCTGAGCCTTCCATCTGCCCTATAACCCACTCAAAATGTCCCTAGCGTCTTAGCTAAGCAACTTTCCTCCCAAGATGCCAGGAGAAAAACACAACTCTTGAGAATAATACTGCTTATTGGACAGTATTAGTTCATTTGTGTCAATTTCATGGCCAGAAGATTTTAAAAAATGGTCAATTTCATGGTGCAGTTGTGAGGGTCTGGACCCAAAAGAAAGTCGGGGGGAGGTGTTGCAAACCTGTTGTATGTGGGAGGAGTGTCACTTTCCACCCTCTTTTCTGCACTGGGTTCGAAAGGCTGCACAGCTTCCTGTAGAAGGGAAAGTTACTTAAGAACATAAGAATGGCCATACTGAGTCAGACCAAAGGTCCATCTAGCCCAGTATCCTGTCTGCCGACAGTGGCCAGTGCCAGGGACCCAAAGACAATGATCAAGCAATTTGTCTCCTGCCATCCTTCTCCAGCCTTTGACAAACAGAGGTCAGGGGCCCCATTCCTTACCCCCTGGCTAATAGCCTTTTATGGACCTAACCTCCATTAATGTATTTAGCTATTTTTTAAACCCTGATAAATTCCTAGTCTTCAGAACCTCCTCTGGCAAGGAGCTCCATAAGTTGACTGTGTGCTGCATGAAAAAAAAAATCCTTTTGTTTGTTTTTAAACCTGCTATCTATTAATTTCATTGGGTGACTTCTAGTTCTTATGTTATGGGAACAAGTAAATAACTTTTCTTTATTCACCCGCTCCACACCAGTCATGCTTTTATATACCTCTATCGTATCCCCCCTCAGTCTCCTCTTTCCTAAACTGAAAAGTCCCAGTCTTTTTAGCCTCTCCTCTTATGGGAACGTTCCAAACCCCTAATCATTTTAGTTGCTCTTTTCTGAACCTTTTCCAATGCCAAAATATCTTTTTTGAGGTGAGGAGACCACATCTATATACAGTATTCAAGATGTGGGTGTACTATAGTTTTTTTTTTATAGGGGCAGTAAGATATTTTTTGTCTTATTTTCTATCCCTTTTTTAATAGTTCCTAGCATCCTGTTTGCTTTTTTGACTGCCGCTGCACACTGTGTGGACATTTTCAAAGAACTATCCACGATAACTCCAAGATCTCTTTCCTGATTAGTTGTAGCTAAATTAGCCCCCATCATATTGTAAGTATAGCTGGGGTTATTTTTTCCAACCTGCATTACTTTACACTTATTCACATTAAATTTCATTTGCCATTTTGTTGCCCAATGACTCAGTTTGGTGAGATCTTTTTGAAGTTCTTCACAGTCTGCTTTGGTCTCACCTATCTTGAACAGTTTAGTATCGTCCGCAAACTTTGCCATTTCACTGCTCACCTCTTTCTCTAGATCGTTTATGAATAAGTTGAATAGGATTGGTCCTAGGACTGACCTTTGGGGAACACCATTAGTTACACCTCTCCATTCTGAAAATTTACCATTCATTCCTACCCTTTGTTTCCTGTCTTTTAACCAGTTCTCAGTCCATGGAAGGATCTTCCCTCTTATCCCATGACAACCTAATTTACACAAGAGCCTTTGGTGAGGGACCTTGTCAAAGGCTTTCTGGAAATCTAAGTATACTATATCTACTGGATCCCCCTTGTCCATATGTTTGTTGACACCCTTCAAAGAACTCTAATAGAGCTTTGCTGGAGAAAAGCGCCAGTCTAGATGGGATCTTTTGGAAAATAAAGCCTTTCCCGGAAGATCCCTTATTCCTCTTAAAGTCAGGAATAAGGGATCTTCCGGAAAAGGCTCTATTTTCCGAAAGATCCCCTCTAGACTGGCTCTTTTCTCCGGCAAAGCCTCGAGCCGGAAAAAAGCGGCAGCCATGCTCATGCAAATGCCACGGGGGATATTTAAATCCCCCACGGCATTTGCAATTCCGACTGGTCTCATTAGCATCCCTTTTCCGGAAAAGGGTGCCAATGTAGACACAGCCTATATCTGTTGGATCCCCCTTGTCCACATGTTTGTTAACCCCTTCAAAGAATTTTAATATATTAGTAAGACATGATTTCCCTTTACAGAAACCGTGTTGACTTTTGCCCAACAAATTATGTTCTTCTACGTGTCTGACAGTTTTATTCTTTACTACTGTTTCAACTAATTTGCTCGGTACTGATGTTAGACTTACTGGTCTGTAATTGCCAGGGTTGCCTCTAGAGCCCTTTTGTAATATTGGCATTATGTTAGTTGTCTTCCAGTCCTTGGGTACAGAAGCTGATTTAAAGGATAGGTTACAAACCACAGTTAATAGTTGAGCAATTTCCCATTTGAGTTCTTTGAGCACCCTTGGGTGAATGCCATCCGGTACCTTTGACCTCTTCTCCTCAAGAGCAGATGTAAAGAGGAAGTTCTCTCACTTCCTGGACTAACAGTTGGAGCCTGGAGAATAGTAGTACCCCATGGCTGGGGTGCCCCCAGTCCTGCCCCTTTCATTCTCCCCTCCCCCATTGGCCTCCCTGGGAAATGTAACTAATTTAACAGTCCGTGATGTGTTTTTTCAGGGCTGTGAATTTGTTAGGGTCATAAGTAGAGTGTGTGTGTCTATGTGTACGTGGGCAGTCACTATACACATGCACATATAAGTTACTAGCACACAGTAGATGCCTTTGGCGTGGGTGGCTGACAACCAGAAGTGCACCATGCTACACAACAGCAGAGAGGAAGGGAAAATTTTTGACAAAACATATCTGCGTGACCCCCATTCTCTTGAACGGATCTTTAATGGCCACATAGGGCAAACAAGACTAAAGTGTTCAATGCCTCATGAGAAAGGACCCTTACAGAGCAAACCCCATGGAACTCCTACTTTTGACTGATGAAAATCTGAGTCAATCCTGCTGGAATTTGAACCTATGCTTCCAGTAGGGAATCCAGGTATTTCAAATCTAATGCTTTGATCACTGAGCCAGCCTAACGAGTTAAATTGTAATTGAACAGAACTAATTACTATGCAATCATTAATGTTTACACATCCAGGGGCGCTGGGACAATTTGTAGAGTGAAAGTATATACTGAGGGGCATTGAACCAAATTGTAAACCCTATATGTAATTAAATCAATTTCAAGTCAGGGGGTATACGAGCACCCCTAGTTCCATCATCTATGTACAACTCTAAACAAAATGAACAGTGCATTCCAATAATCAGTTGTATTCCTCCTATTCAGCAGATGACTATATCACTGTCATTCCCATTCAAGGTCCCAGGTATGATGCTATTTCCTTTTATATCTATAGAAATTTTGCCTTTGACTTCAAGGGAGGATGATCAAATCATTTAAAACTGTTTAATTCTGTTCAGGTCTGTTAAATGTGCCTATCACAAAATGTAGTATTTCCTCATTTTACCAAATAACCAGATACAGATTTATTTTTCGTTCTTAGCTTTAGCATGTCAGGACTGGGTTCAGCTATGTTTCCCTCAAAGCTTATTTAAAAAAGACAGCTCCAAAAACAGGTTGGATAAATCTTGTTGCAGAGGTACCACTGCTGCATTCATTCTCCTTTTTGCTGCAGCTGTATGGCCTGCACAAAGCCTAATCATCACATACTCTATTTGAAATCTGAAATTTTATATTTGATATGAATAATTTGAATAATCTTTAGTACAATATCTTAGATGTAATATCTAAGTTAAAGTGTGGGGTTTTTTTTTTTAATAATTTCACATGGTTTGGTCCATGCTTTCTGGTCAGTATAAACTTTTTAAGACTGTATAAACTGACCAGTGTTAAACTTTTTTAAAATGAAGAGAGGTTTACACTATTTTTTGAAACACTAGGATACCTGCTTTAAAACTCACTCTTACTAATGCTAACTCTTTGCCTCAGTTTCTTCATTTTATAAAATGAAGGCATTCCCTTACCTTACAGAGATAGTATAATACACCATGTTAATGTTTGTAAAACACTAAGATTTTGAGTAGAAGACGCTAAATAAGTACATAATCTTGATTAATTTTTACTTTTATTTTTTAAACAAAACACTGGTGATTAAGGCTCCAAGCAAAGCTCTTAAGCACGTGCTTCCCTTTCCAATGGGATACTCACATGCTTAATGTTAAAGGTGTATTTAAAAGCTTTGCTGGATTGGCTCCTCATTGGATATTTAACTTCAAACTGCTTATTCAATCAGTATGAAATTGGCATCTGTAGTGCTCATAACACATGCAGTGGCATGTCTGGCAGGTGATTTAGGCAAGGCCTTTCACACATGCAGTGGCATGTCTGGCAGGTGATGTAGGCAAGGGTAGGCAAGGCCTTTGCAAACTGCCCATGCTCTGGCCAGTCAGAATGGCTGGGGCTACAGCACAGCTGCCCAGCCCTCTGCACAGCTGGGATTCTGGTGCAGCTGTCTGGCCTTCTTACCACCTGGGAGGGCTGAGGCCATGGTGCCGCTGCCAGGCTCCCTGGTCACCCAGGAGGGCAGGGGCCACAGTTTAGCTGCCCGGCCCTCTAGCTGGCCAGGAAGGTTCAAGATGAGACATGGCTGCCAACATCTCCGGCTGCCAGGCACGCTGACCCACCGGGAAGGATGGGGCTGTGCACCCACTGTGAATGGGGAGAGTAAAGGGCCTGGGGATGTTCAGAGGCTGGAGGCAATATCCTGGAGTGTGGTCTGGCCTCTCCCATGGAATTGGTTACCTTGGGTGGGGGGAAAGGTTGCGGAAGGGGTGGGAGTCAGATTGCCAGGTGTTCGGTTTTCTACCGAAGAGTCTGGTATTTCAGCTCTGTCCGGTAGAAAAATTCAGAAAATACCGCACGTGTGCAATGTCCGGTATTTTCTGAATTCCTGGCTGGGCACCGGACGAAAGCCTGGCGGGGGTGGGGAGCGACTGGGAGGCAGGGCCGCGATTGGCACTGGGAGCCCTGCAGGCACATGCAAAAGCCAGGCGGGGTGAGGGCCAGGAGTCACTCCCCTCACCCGGCTTCTGCACGTGACCC